GTTCATCCCATCCAATCCAACGGCTCCAAGCTTTCCCCAGATACCCGACCCACTGGTACCCGGATTGACCCATTCCCAACACTAAACCAAACGACGTCATCCCTTTAAGTGAAAAGATCAAGGCCGTTGATCATCAATGATCCAACGGCCGAAATTCAACTCCCCCGTCCCGTATATAAACCCTCCTCTCTTACCCCCACTCCCCTAAGCCAGACCCCCTCCCTCATCCTCGTCTCTCTCAGAGACTGAATCGAAACCGTCAAGAACTCTAGCGCCGCCCTTCCATCCCCCCACCTGAAACCCGGTGACAAAGACCACCAAATTAACACCCCTAGTGCACCTCGACCCTCTGGACACGGATCTGCAAACCGTTTGGTTCGAATCAACTTACATCGTCTCGAATCTTCATCTGAAGATTCGAGCCAAACCTCAACTTATACCAACCGATCCCAAATGCACACCAGTTACTCCCCTGACCTCCCTCGTGACCAAACCAAGCCTGGTTTGGTTCGAAGCTAACCAGAAAAGCTCAAACCCCTAATCTGAGCCCCAAGAACCCTAGAAATCCAAAACCTGGGGGTTTGTCCAATTAAACGAAGGATTGGGGTCTAATAGACCTTAATCGAGGTGTTCTCAGTTGAGAACACTTCGATTAAAGTCCGTTCAACCCCAAAAGAGGTCCGAGTCAGAATCCAAGACGGGTTCGTCTAACCTTCAATTTCTTAAGGTATTTTCTTTTCCTTGTCAGTTTCATGTTTTGTCTATGTCTGTTTATGTGTTTAAATGTCAGTTTGAGTTTGTTTTCAATTGTGTCGACTATTCTGTCCACCTCGCCTGGACCTTTCATTTGGTCGAATTTGCATCTGCGCGTTTTGTTGCGTGTAATTACAGTTTGGACAATCGAGTCGAATAGGCTCCGCCGATTGGTTAAGTTTTGCGTAAAATCACTGTGCCTATCAGTATGAAATCACCCCCGTACCTGTTCGAGTTCGATTATTTGTTATCGATTGTATATGTTGTAATATATGGTCTGTTAATAAGTGTCGTCGATTAGTTTCGCAGTCTTGAATGTTAAAATAACCTGATGACAATTTGGTTTATATTGCTTCAATTCTGATTGAGTCAATCTTTACCATTTATCTATCAGTCTAGGAACTGTTTTAACTGATTGAATTGGATTTAATTCACTGCTTTAAACTGTTAGTGGAAGCCATGTGTGGACAGATGCTTTTGAATTAATCAGTTTATCCGACCATGCTTGATTAGAATTAAATATTATTTAAACAACTACTAATGGCCTGCAGAGAATAACAGGCTTTTCAGATTTAAAAAAACTGAAAAGAATTGCATCTGAAAAGGGGTATAGAATGAGTGCTTTTAAAATAAGGAAGCATGGGGGGTCAGTTTTTAATTGGTTTTAACAAGCTGGAAATCAGTAACAACATGGGTTTAATGATAAAAAGCTGAAGATGCACATGAAAATGGTAGTGGAACATGCTGTACAGTAGGATATTCACTACATTTTTGAACTTCAGAAGATTAAAAAGAGGAAAAAACTCCATGCCTAGAGAATCCTAAGTGGAAATGATAGCCATGAGGAGTTATTTTAAGCCATGGGCAGCCTGTCTTTGGAGGGAGGTCCTTCTCTTCTAATAGGATATAAAAGGGAGACTGAAAGAGAGCAGAGGGGGGACAACTGAAAATAAAAGAGGTTAGAACCCAAGGGAGCTGATCTTGAAAAAAAAGAGAGCTCATTTCTGGACTTCCATCCTAGGTAGACAATAAACAAAAAACCTTTGTTTGCTCTATTGAAGCTGAAAATTCTGCTTTTCTTCACTTTTACTGTTTCGAAATCAGCATTAACTGCTTTGTTCCATAGAAACTTAGGCTTCTTCCTTTGAATGTCTTGAAACATCAGTAAACTACTATTGTCTCGTACCTGTCTCCCTTCTGCTTTGGCTCAGATTGCATTTTGGTGATTGCTGGGTTTTCAATTGTTTGCTCTTGAGTTTGCTGGGTTTATTTGCTACTGCTTCCATTGGTTATAGCAGAATTTTCACTGGGATTTATTCTGCTTATTGTTGCTGTTGCTGCTGTTATTTGTTGGTTACTGCTGCCGTTTGCTGCTGCTGATTTCTACTTTCTTCTTGTTGTTGTTGTGTTTCAACATCCAGGTATATAACTGATCCACTAGCTCAATGTAAGCTGAAATTTGAAGCATGAATGAAAAATGAAGAGTTGAAGTTGTTTTGAATATTTTTTAGTTGTATAGTGAACACTAAGCGGTATACGTATAATTGTTCATGTCTTCTACTAGAATCATGTAGGTATGGGCTATGTATAACTGAACAATATTTTGTAGTAGTTTAGTTGTAAACTTCCTCCCTTGTGCGCTTAGTTAAAATGGATTGATGTTGTAGAAAACATGTTCTGTTGTTTCAGATTTAACAACATACTTAAGAGTAAAAATGGTACGTTCTGTTAGGCCTCTTAGACTATTTCCAAAATACTTAATAGTTACCTCATGGAACAAAAGGCTTGTTTTAAAACTTACAGGAACATTGTTTAATTAGATAGCACGGGTTCACATTTCAGCCCCTTGTAAATATCAAACATATATAAAATAAGTCAATTAGGCCCAACTGGAATAAGGATGGCCCAGGCCTAGTTTCACGCCATGCACATTAGGCATGGGCCCATAACTGTCAGACGGACTGCTCTTATTGCGTTCATTTTAGATTTAACGAATCATGTTCAAAACTTAACTATAATAACTCGAAAGTATGTAAATAAAGTAAGACCTTTTCTTCATTTATCTTAGAGACAAACGAAAAATAGAAAATGTAGTCATTCTAAGATTATCCTTTTAAAAAATAATGAGAAGAGCCTCGCCAAATAAAAATGCAAATTGCGGGGCCCTCAATAATTGGTCATAATAAATACTTAGATTTTCTGGGATGGGCCGTCTAGCGAACCTCACGGTTTGCCCCAAAGATAATAACGTGTTAGACTCTTTAGATGCGATTTTTAATTAAATTACATGCTTAAATTCGGGTGCGCATTTATGTGACCCAAATCCAAATCTCAA